CAGGCATGGAAGGATACTAAAAGAATTAGAGGCGATAAGATCCGCCATGTGTCACACCCTCACCCTCTTCACAGAGCAAACGAGTTAGTCGATGCTTGGGTAACCACCTCTAGCTTCAATAATCTGCCCCCAGAGAGACAATTCAGATTAATTGAATTAATAATTAAGCCATGAAATTAACAAATAAGTGACTCAAGTATATGATTGACGTAAATTAACAATACCATAATTTATGTCGGAAAACCCGACACCATTTACTAATATTAAATACAATAAGCAGATAATATTGCTGCTGGGTTGTTTACACAAGTTAACCCATAGAAAATGTGGCCTGTAGTGAAATTTTCCGTCAATAGAAAACGGGATATCATTGCCACGTCGCTAATAAATTCACCAGCTATTCTGTTGGGAATTATTCTTAATGCCGCAGTCTTTCGCCTTTTAACATCATAAAAACACCTCATTTGAATTAACTTAATTATCAGTACCAAAATAGAGTAAATGTGACCTTTCTACCATTATTGATATCTGGACAAGGAGAGCCAGAGGTCAGTAGTGGTGAGAGGTCAGCCATTGTTTAAGACCTGAGTCGCTGGAGCGAGTTCAGCTCCTATAATTCGCCCTTGGACGAAGTGTTATGGAGATCAAACTAGTGCTTCTTCCATCATCAACACGCAGTCAACTTCTAAACAAGGGAAGTGTAACACCTGAAACCCGTTTCTTATCTAGTAATTTTCTGGCCAGTTATGCTAGGTAGATAGGGCGAACCGGTTAGCACGCATGACAAGCAGCATCATCCAGGTAATTATTCCTTGGTCCTTATCATATAATATATCAATGTTTCCTCTGATATATCTGGTCATATATATAGGATTCCGGCTTTACAGCAAGTGCCCTTTAAAATGAACAAGAAGAGGAAGCAGTACAGTTACTTGGTAAACCAGTACATGGGGTGGTGATGTTAGCCTCAAGCACGAGGATTATTTGGTGTCATCATTCTTGTTTAAACCTGGTGGACTAAGCCTGCCATACAAGAAGATAAGACCTCTTAATTTTCATTACTAATATATGTAGTTTAATACTGTAGTTTGATTAGCTGCAAATATATAAATTTAATATAACCCCCCCCCCCTAATGTGTAAGGATTCGATTTGTGAGAATATTGCAGATATACAGTCCACTAAACACGATACAAATTGCTATCGAAATATATAAATTAATATAAATATAAATTCTACATAAATTCATATAAATTAAATAAATATAAATCTAACAAGTCGGTTCCCCACAATAATCCACAAACTTAGCATGTAGGCAAGTGCTTGAGTCAACTTCTTTGCCGACTGTATATCCTCTGGTGGATGTTTGACCATGGTATTTTGGGGGTTGTAGGCTAATATGCACTTGGCGTTCACCTACTTAGTACCATTTACAGTATTATTATCTTATGTGTGAAGCGCTTCTACCACTTTAGTTTTTATATAAATTATCTCTATAAATTTCTTGAGATGGTGGAACAAATGGATTAATTAACACCTGATATTATCATATCATATTATCGGCACACACAAATAAAAGTAAGAGCTGTGCTCATGGGGCCGTCTTGCTGCAGGTGCTGTGTGTGTCGCCCTCCTTGCTCGCGAGTGGAGACGCCAATATTTATCTTATTCAATTTACTTAACGTTTATTCATTAATGTATTATAAGGTTAATGAATGATATGATATTACCCAAATTGATGGTAATATAACAGCAAATGTTATTCGTTACGATTTCCTGAATTAGGAGATCGAATGTTAGAAATTGTTAAGAGAGGTATATATATAAGCCGCCCAGGTGGGGGAGTACTCTCTGGGAACTTACTCTACACGAGAATTAGTGTACTAGGCTGTGGATTATTTTCCATAAATGTGACAATACTGCATGAATGTGACAACACTGCCTGCATGTGACAACACTGCATGTATGTGACAACACTGCCAGTATGTGACAACACTGCATGTATGTAACAACACTGCATGAATGTGACAACACTGCATGAATGTGACAACACTGCATGTATGTAACAACACTGCATGAATGTGACAACACTGCATGCATGTGACAACACTGCATGCATGTAACAACACTGCATGTATGTGACAACACTGCCTGCATGTAACAACACTGCATGTATGTGACAACACTGCATGAATGTGACAACACTGCCTGCATGTAACAACACTGCATGTATGTGACAACACTGCATGAATGTGACAACACTGCATGTATGTAACAACACTGCATGAATGTGACAACACTGCATGCATGTGACAACACTGCATGAATGTGACAACACTGCCTGCATGTGACAACACTGCATGAATGTGACAACACTGCATGCATGTAACAACACTGCATGCATGTGACAACACTGCATGAATGTGACAACACTGCATGTATGTAACAACACTGCATGTATGTGACAACACTGCATGTATGTGACAACACTGCATGTATGTGACAACACTGCATGAATGTGACAACACTGCATGAATGTGACAACACTGCATGAATGTGACAACACTGCATGAATGTGACAACACTGCATGAATGTGACAACACTGCATGTATGTAACAACACTGCATGAATGTAACAACACTGCATGAATGTGACAACACTGCCTGCATGTAACAACACTGCATGAATGTGACAACACTGCCTGCATGTAACAACACTGCATGTATGTGACAACACTGCATGAATGTGACAACACTGCATGAATGTGACAACACTGCATGAATGTGACAACACTGCATGAATGTGACAACACTGCCTGCATATAACAACACTGCATGTATGTGACAACACTGCATGAATGTGACAACACTGCATGAATGTGACAACACTGCATGAATGTGACAACACTGCATGAATGTGACAACACTGCCTTGCATGTAACAACACTGCATGAATGTGACAACACTGCATGAATGTGACAACACTGCATGAATGTGACAACACTGCCTTGCATGTAACAACACTGCATGAATGTGACAACACTGCATGAATGTGACAACACTGCATGAATGTGACAACACTGCATGTATGTGACAACACTGCCTGCATGTAACAACACTGCATGTATGTGACAACACTGCATGAATGTGACAACACTGCATGTATGTGACAACACTGCATGAATGTGACAACACTGCATGAATGTGACAACACTGCCTGCATGTAACAACACTGCATGGATGTGACAACACTGCATGAATGTGACAACACTGCATGAATGTGACAACACTGCATGAATGTGACAACACTGCATGTATGTGACAACACTGCCTGCATGTAACAACACTGCATGTATGTGACAACACTGCATGAATGTGACAACACTGCATGAATGTGACAACACTGCATGAATGTGACAACACTGCATGTATGTGACAACACTGCCTGCATGTAACAACACTGCATGTATGTGACAACACTGCATGAATGTGACAACACTGCATGAATGTGACAACACTGCATGTGGATGTGACAACACTGCATGAATGTGACAACACTGCATGAATGTGACAACACTGCATGAATGTGACAACACTGCATGAATGTGACAACACTGCATGTATGTGACAACACTGCATGAATGTGACAACACTGCATGAATGTGACAACACTGCATGAATGTGACAACACTGCATGAATGTGACAACACTGCATGTATGTGACAACACTGCATGAATGTGCATATATGTGACAACACTGCATGAATGTGACAACACTGCATGAATGTGACAACACTGCATGAATGTGACAACACTGCCTGCATGTAACAACACTGCATGAATGTGACAACACTGCATGAATGTGACAACACTGCCTGCATGTGACAACACATGAATGTGACAACACTGCATGAATGTGACAACACTGCCTGCATATAACAACACTGCATGTATGTGACAATGCTGCTTGTGACAACACTGCATGAATGTGACAACACTGCCTGCATGTAACAACACTGCATGAATGTGACAACACTGCATGAATGTGACAACACTGCCTGCATATAACAACACTGCATGAATGTGACAACACTGCATGAATGTGACAACACTGCCTGCATATAACAACACTGCATGAATGTGACAACACTGCATGAATGTGACAACACTGCATGAATGTGACAACACTGCATGAATGTGACAACACTGCCTGCATGTAACAACACTGCATGAATGTGACAACACTGCATGAATGTGACAACACTGCATGAATGTGACAACACTGCCTGCATGTAACAACACTGCATGAATGTGACAACACTGCATGAATGTGACAACACTGCCTGCATGTAACAACACTGCATGAATGTGACAACACTGCATGAATGTGACAACACTGCCTGCATGTAACAACACTGCCTGCATGTAACAACACTGCCTGCATGTAACAACACTGCATGAATGTGACAACACTGCATGAATGTGACAACACTGCCTGCATGTAACAACACTGCATGAATGTGACAACACTGCATGAATGTGACAACACTGCCTGCATGTAACAACACTGCCTGCATGTAACAACACTGCATGAATGTGACAACACTGCATGAATGTGACAACACTGCCTGCATGTAACAACACTGCATGAATGTGACAACACTGCATGAATGTGACAACACTGCCTGCATGTAACAACACTGCATGAATGTGACAACACTGCCTGCATGTAACAACACTGCATGAATGTGACAACACTGCATGAATGTGACAACACTGCCTGCATGTAACAACACTGCATGAATGTGACAACACTGCCTGCATGTAACAACACTGCATGAATGTGACAACACTGCATGAATGTGACAACACTGCCTGCATATAACAACACTGCATGTATGTGACAATGCTGCTTGTGACAACTTGTATTTCCTCACCGCATAAGTTTTAATGAAAAACGCAAATAAACTGTAAATCTTTTATTATACTCTTATAACAAAAGAGAAATACTGAAGAGGCGGTGCAGTACAAGCCATTGTTCCTACATAATGTTCAGTTACTCGTAAGTGTTCAAAGAGCAGGAAGCCAATGCTCAAGCTAATTCTTCAATAATGACCAATAATATGTGGTTATTCAATGCTTACAAAAGTACTGAACTAGAAGAAATTTGTGTAGGGCCTAAATTATGATTATTTACCATTTTTCTGAGTAGGGAGAAAGCAAATGTCGAAGCCATCATCAACAAAGTTACTGAAACTTCTTTACTAAACCAGTAGATTTCAATGTTATACTCAACAGCGGTGGTCAAGCCGGTACGACCTGTCCTTACAGTGGTGTGGTCACGACAGCCTTGGCGGAGGACCTGATCAATCATTTAGAAGGCTGGTCTGATCATCATGGTGGTCTCCATGAGAGAGTCATGGTAGCCCTCCCACGGTTGCCAGTCGATGCCGTCTGCATAGCTCTCATGTTTGCCAACGTACTGGTAGCCGTTCAAGTTGGAGATGTGACAATTGTCATACCACCAGGCGCCACGGTACCTTCAGTGAAGAAAACAATATAACACTATTATTCCTAAACTTTCATCGTTATTGAGCTTATTAAACATTAGCATGTATGGCGGTGTTTCATACATTAGCATTCTCGTGTAACTTTAGACGTTGCTCCCGTATTTGGTTGACACTAAGGAAAGAATTTGTGCCATTCCCACTAACGTGGTGCATCTCAAAGGAAGGTTATGTTACACAGTGCATGTCAAAAAGGCTTGTTATACACACTATATTCTTTTTAATAATTTGCGAAGGATTTAACATGATCTGCCGCACGATAAAGCTACCATTTCTTAATGCTGCATTAATTTTCAAATTTCCTACGGTATTAAAAATATTATATATACCCTTCATGGGTATATATAACTACCTTTCTACTGCAAGGATTTTAAAAGACTTTGAAGAGTGTTTGAAGAAGTCTTTGAAGAGAACAGGCAGAGTTGAGTGAATGTTGAGAGCGTGACTAGGGGAACCTGAGGATACCTACGCGAGGGCACAGTTTGCTGTACTATTGTCATGGTCAGCGTCGTGGGTGGAGAAGGGGTATCCATCGTGCTTCCCGCCTCCCAGACCGTCTCCGGCGTCGCCCGTGTACCTGCTCCAGACAACACATGTTACTCGCAGCTCGCCCTCTCACCTCCACCACAATACGTATCTCTCACCACAATAGTTGTATTTCACAAAACTGTGAGATACAACTTTGACGAAATAATCCTCATATTTATTTTCTTATTAAAGTTTTATACACCATTATTGTAGAATACCTAAGTTTAGATTAGTTTTTACGTATACAGCTATAGTTTAAGACGCATGAAAATATCTGGAAATGAATTTACCTTCCCACACTGATACGGTAATTTGTGTCAGGAGCCATTATGTTGAAGCGTCCGTACTTTGCCCATCGTTGTTCCCCCTCATAGTTCTTGAGGTCAATCCTCAGTTCCTGAAGTGTGACAGAAGTGAGCTGGTGGAGAAGGTCGAGGCCCAGCCAGAACTCGCCCTCCAGATGACCAAATCCTAGTTGATACTCGACCCATGTACGGTAAAAATCTTCTCATTCAGAGAGGTTGCGGCGTCTCTGGAAGACGGTCCAGCCGCCGCCGTCTACACTTTGATCACAGAAAACGGTAACGGAGGCGTCAGGGTGCTTACGGAACGGATACACCTGCCGGATGCCGGCTCCAGTCTCGCCAGCAGCCAGTAGGTCTTTGCAGTGTCGCGGATTTTTCTCAATGGTCTTAGTCTCTTTTACTGCTGACAACGTCTTCTGTAACAGTGACATGACAAAAAGATAAGGAAGAACAACCTTATAAATGCAATGTGATAAA